TATGTCGGGGTCAGGTCGGATCCCGGACTGGTAAATAAGGTGCCCGAGGAACCGCAGCTGACTCCGCCTGATGGAACACTTCACACGATTAAGCTTGAGACCAGCTGCCTCTATGCGCTGCATTACCTTCTCCAGGCGACAGTCATGCTCCTTCTCTGTGGCCCCGTAGACCAGGATGTCGTCCATGAAGATCTCAACACCCTCTAGCCCCTGGAGGGTCTCCATCATCTTCCTCTGGAAGATTTCTGGTGCGCTCGTTATCCCGAACGGTAGCCTCTTAAAATTGAATCTACCAAATGGCGTAATGAAGGTTGTGAACTTACAGCTGTCAGGATGCAATGGTATCTGGAAAAACCCTCTGGCGGCATCAAGCGAAGAGAAGACAGTGGCTCCACTCAGCTTTGCTGTAATCTCATCAGTAGTTGGCAGGAGATACCGTTCTCGTTTCACAGCTTCATTCAGTCTCTTGAGATCAACACAGATGCGAGCGTTACCTGTACTCTTCTTCAAGACTGGTACCATGGGTGCACACCAGTCTCTAGGCTCTGTCACCCTCTCGATGATGCCATTCTTTTCCATCCTCTGGAGCTCCTCCTTCACCTTTTGCAGCATGGGGAGGGGTACGCGTCGTGCTGTGTGCACAGCATACGGCTGAGCATTGTCCTTCAGCAGTATTCTCACAGGTTCTTTTTTTAATGTCTCATGCTCGCCATATGTCTGTGGATGTCCTCTGTCACACACCGTTTCATTGATTCTCTTCACCAGATTCATTTCCACAGACAACGGCCTGCTGAGAAGGTTGTTTACAGTACGACCCCGAACGACGTATGCTGTGAGTGGGTGAGTCTTTCCTTTGGAGGTCACAGTGCTCTGGACCTGACCAATGCACTGCAGCTCGCCGCCTGGGCTGTCTAATGGCATATCTGCCGGCTCCAGCGGTCTTTTGGAGGTGAGTGAATGATAGGTCTCTTCACAGATGTTGCTAACATCCGCCCCTGTGTCAATTTTGAAGTCAACTGGTGTAGAGCCCACCAGCAACTCGACAGCCCATTGCTCTGGTGACCCATCTGCTTTACTCACAGCCCCAAGAAAGTATGATTGCTGTTGCTCTGCTTGCTCTGTCACCTCACTCACTGCCCTTCTACTCCTGCACACTCTGCTCCAATGTCCAACCTTGTTGCATGTATTGCATGAAGACTTTCTGGCTGGGCAATTTTCATCTCTACTGTGCCCCACTTTCCCACACTGTCCACATTGTCCTTTATTTCCCTCCTTTGGCTTACCGTAATGGTGGGGGTATTTGCCGCGCTCAACTTCCTGTATCAATCCCGATATCTCTCCCTGCATGCTGACTTGCGAAGCAACCTCCTCTGACTGCCTGACCGTCTCTATGGTCAGCGCTAGCGTCAGGTCCTTCGTCAGCTGCAACTTCTGTGAGATGTTTTTGTCGAGTACACCGACGACGATCCAGTCGCGGATATTTTCATCTCTGCTCGCGCCAAATTCACAATGCTCCGCTAGCTTGTACAAGGCTCTGATATACGTCTCAGCTTTCTCTCCCGGTCTTTGCACGCCGACTCCGCTTATACTTCTGACACCATGTAAATGAATGCGAGGGAGGCTTCGTTGTTCGCTGGCTGGTTCTTTAATATCGTCCCATGAGCGCCCGTTTACAGTACACGTTAACTCCCATATAACTTCTGCAAGCGCACTAGAGTACCGGATATGTCAACAACAAACAAGAAAACACTAAAGAATCAAACAGTGTGTGTGTATTACCACAGTGGTCCCCAGAGGTGTCAATAGTATTCACATTCATTACTCAAGTAGAAGTACCGATACTAGGGTTTAAAAAGACTTCTGTAGAAGTTGAAGTATGAAGTAGTAAAAGTATAAAAGTAGTGGTTTCAAAACTACTTAAGTATAAAAGTAAAAGTAATGTAAGAGAAAAAATTCCATTAAGGACAAACTCTTAATGTGTAACCTTGCTCACAGAACATGTCAGTCCTCCTAAACAATATTATCAGAAGGCGCCTTCAGATCACGTGACCTGCCGTTCGCATGATGGAAACATGGCGATATTCAGAGAGGCAACGCTGAAACAACAGAGGGACAAATGTATCTATATAACTTAAACAGATAAACCATAACCTATTTTCCAGTGACGACTTAATGACATAAGTCAGAGGACGTACACACACGTTGTTCCTATTGATTAGGTAGTCTGCAGTTGTCTCCCCCAGGTTTACTACGTCATGGGGGGGCGCACCCCTGTTAAAATGGTGGGGAAGCACTGAACTGGCAGCGGTCGGTTATCAAAACATTGGCCAAATTACCCATTTTATCAGGCTTTATGAGCAAATACATAATCCTTTTGTGTTCATTTATAAAGCCACATTAAGACACACATAACTTTATTTAAGACGCTGCGCTACTTCGCTTCGCTGTGTTGTGCCAGACTCTCAATAAAGTTTGAAAAAAACCTCTACGGGAAACCCATGGTCATGAAGATACTCATTTAACGTTACATGGAATCTGCAGGAGGAGGAGGAAGGTCCTTGTCGCTAAATACCAACTTCCCACCGACCACTTTTCGCACCCGGCATCACTCTGATCTGCAAGCGCATCGAGAAAGAGAGAAAACCAAGAGAAAATCAATAGGTTGTCTGGATGTTAAATGTGTATACTTCTCATCCAATCACAATCTAATTCACTCTATCCGCGCAATTATGTGGATAGGTTTTTTGTGTGCGTGAGTTTTTGAACGACGACAAGCCAGAAGTAACAAGGCTATTTTTAAAAGTACAGATATTTGCGTGAAATTGTAAGGAACAGAAGTAAAAAGTTGTCTGAAAACGAAATACTCCACTGAAGTGTAGATACCCAAAATTTCTTAAGTACAGTAACAAAGTCCAAAGACCCTGGGGATCAGATTGATTGGTAACTCTAAATTGCCCGTAGGTGTGTGAATGGTTGTATGTCTCGAAGTTGGCTGGGATAGACTGTGCAGGATAAGCGGTTTGCAGATGGATTTTGCTTTTGAGTATCTTGCCATTTGTATTTGATAGAGCCAATAAAAGATTGAACATCATTTCTAACAAAATATTTAATAGTGGAGTAATTTTATATTTAAAATACTCCCTGCAGGAATCAAAAAGTTCAGTCTTTAGATCTTCAAGTTCAACGGATTGTCTGTTAAGGTAAATATTTTATTTAAGTGTGACTGATGTCAACGAAGGTACCTTTCTAAACTATCCGGATGTATATTTCATGTCTGGGTATGGCTACATAGCGTATTGTATGTACATGGTTGTAGGAGCCATTTGTAATATTTATTTATTTTGCTTAATGCATTAAGCATTCCAACTATTGTTCTTCGAATCTTTATTCAACTTATTATTATTTTTCTTCTATTTCTTCCGTGCCACCTTTCAACACATTTTCAGCTATTAAAACCGTTCAAAAAATCCAGAAGGTACACGTTTTGTAAACTGTGACAGGAGCCGTATTTATTACCGGACTAACATAAAAAACGCATCCATGCGAGTCTTGGGTCTCGTAAAAACGTCGTATTTTTTAGATAGCTGCTATAGTTTTGCGCTGGTGGCCATTTGTCTGAGGTGTGGATTCTGTGTATCTCGCTGTCCTGTCTCTGCCCTTTGCAGCAGCTCTGTCTGTCTATTTCTCCTCCTCTCTCTCCCTCTATCTTTTCCTCACCACCCCTCCCTTCCTCACCCTCTCACCCTCCCTCTCTCTATCTACACCCCCCACCCAATCCAATAAAATAAACGCCCCATGGAGGGAATTCTTACTGTAATGTTTGTGATGAGGCCTATTAATTAAAAACTTCTTAGTTTGAATAACAGACATTCTGTCTCCCAACCCCCCCTCACCCAATTCCATCATTGCAAAATAAAAGCCTCAATGATTATCTGTACCTTAACCATGAAGCTCAGAATGAAGCGGTTTCGTTGAAATACTTTAGCTTTTCTAATATCTGTAATTTCAGCAAATGTATTCAAATTCCCTTCAACTTTCTGTATTTTCAGCTATTTTAAAAAGTTAATTTCAGCTTTCAGCTTTTTGCATTCCAAAGCATTTTCAGCAGGAAATGCATTTTCTAGTTGTGACAGAGAGTCAACATAAGGGGGCAAAGGTGCAATTGACACGTGTAATGATGCATGGGCGACGGGGAGATCGCACAGTTTTTACCGCTACCAAGATGGGTAGCGAGATCACGAAACAAACGTAGATGGAGTTGTGTATGTAGGGGTATGTAGTAGTCGCTCTGTGTTCGCTGGTCGGCGACATTGCCAGGAAAGGACAAGAAAAACGCCTGGTGACGCGTGGGGAATATGTTAGAGGGACGAGCGCACATAATTTGGAGAAAATCCGGTCAATTTTCAAAATAAAACATTTTTCAGAAAAAAATATATATATAAGCTTTTTGTGGTGCGGCCCCAAACGGCCCACGGACCGGTACCGGTCTTGCTGGGGATAGTGACATAGAATATTCCCTCCAGCCTTTACCCAGAAAATGGATATATTGATAATGTAACACCGAATATGACTTATTTTACTTAACGTTTATTTATAGATCATTTTTACTTAATCCCCATTAAATCCTCTTTTCCCACCTAAAACTACTCAACTACTACTAAAAAAGTATCCTTTAAAAAGAAATCCTTGACAATTTATAATCATAAGTGTGAGGATTTTTTTCCAGCTTACTTTAATTATTTAACAGTCCAACTTTATCATAAAGTATTTTAATCTTGTCAACTCCACTCTCTCTGTATGTCGTGATGGTCATCTTTAGTTTAGGCTACCAGATATACTATCTCAGCAAAGGGCTTTAAAACTATTGATTATGACTTCATTATTATCTCAATTTTTTTTTTCAAGTTTCCAAACTGGAAGTCACCATGTGCGAATAAGAGATTGGAGCCAGGGAGAGGCAATTCGGGCATTGCCACTAACAATAACAAGAGACAAGCAGGTAAGGAGATGTAACTGAGTCTTTGTTTTTATAAATAATAATATCATTGTTATCTTGACTACCAATCAATCAACCTATCAATAGTTGAGATCATAACCATATTGCGAGAGCTTTGCAATGACTACTGCTGACCTGATTGCTAGTGCCCAGGTCCAAAAAAAGGTTGATAGTCCACAATCTAATACTGAATATATACATCCACAGATAACACATCCAGAAAGAAAAGCAACTTATATCTTTGCAGAAAAAAGGAACCAAATTGTATGTAGCACGCATTATTCTCGTACAGATTGCAGCTGATGTTTTTCTTTTGGATTATTTTTTATTTTCAACAGATTGAGGAAAACATTGACTGTAGACACACTACCTTTCACTGTTTGCTTTTTTATTCGGTAGTGTGATGACTGGATGTATGTATGTGTGCTTTTAAAAACCCGTAAAACTAGCTGCAGTGTTTTGATCCTGGGAACATCAAAATATTCAATATTATGCTAATGTACATCTAATGTGTAAACTATTCTTTTTGCCGTGTGAAAAAAGGTGTATTGAACTGGATACCACTGCTCTTCAATTGTTCAATTAATCAAAGCTACTGCATTTATACATCCACAAGACAGGGTTTCACTGGGTAATAATAGTCTTGTTTTTCTGCAAAACAGCCCTTCAACACTCACACATTTACCTCAATGACCGGAATGGATGGAAACACTCAGATGGAAATTATTTAACGTAAAATGTAAGGTAAAAAGGAAATACACACTTTGAATGAAAGAGGAATCAATATAGAAAATGTTAAAAGGCAGATGGGATCATTGGACAGAAGGAAATGCACCAGAATGAAACTGGTTCAACAGAAAAGTTCCGGTTTGTCACTTCTATGGAATATTCTGTACATCAATGTACAAAACACTGCAAATCATGGATCTCCTCACTTCCTGCATGTCCCTCACTGAAGCGCTGGATTATTGAAAGTTAATAGATGGCCACAAATTATGATCCGAACGAAGTAAATTATATGGTTTTACATATGGTCCATTCTCTTATGAACACATGATGCTCAAAGACACCAAGTCAGCAAGAAACACAATCATAGCAATCTGACACCCCTGCAAAACTGCTGATCCATGGAGTTCACCAAAATCACAGTAGACCCCTTAATAGAAGCAATTTTTAGTCTTTGTACGTTGTCTTTCAGTGTCCTCGTAATCTTTCTTGGTCAAGGGCCTTTTCAGTAACTGCTCCATAAAAACAAACAACTGCCACATTTCTGAGGATATTTTTTTTTAGTTCTTCAGTTTTTCTTCATTATAGCATATTGTCAGGACATCCATTTTAAACACACAAATAAAAAAAGAATCTGTATTCAGAAGAGACTGGAGATTCATTTAATTTTAGAGACGAGTGGAAGAAAGGAAACAAGGAATAGTTTTTCAGTTTGTTTGCGACCAATCTGTGGTTCAGTCTTCAGTTGTCAGCTTTAGCAGATAGTGCCGTTCTCCGATCGCGGTTTGGAGCAAGTGGATTGGGGTATCGGCTGGACTGAGGGAGCCAGGGTGCAGAAGAATCCAGCGATGAGGGTGAGGCCGAGGCCTCCCCAGGCGCAGAACATGGACCAGCCATAGCCGTGGCCAATGTCGTCAGTTAGGCCATATAGGTCACGAGGGTAACGTGAAAGCTCAAAGTTGATGCCGGCAACACAGGTGCAGAGCGAGATTATGCAGAAAGTTCCTGAAAAGACAGAACCGGATAATAAATAAGACAAATTCCTGCAATACAAAATTGACAGAACCCTGACACTTTCTCATCATCCAGTGCCTGTTCACATCTTGCCTTGCAAGCACATTCTAATATCTATTCAAAAGGAAGATAATGCAATAGGGAGTATTGTACATGAGATAATCTTAAAACCTGCAAATTCAATAACAAAAACTTAAGGATATTGTGCTCTACCAATGTGGTAGAGCACAATATCCTGTCACAGTGAGTCAAGATAGTATTATAAATATAGGAAGGCCCTCCCTAATGCCAGAACAGCTTATGCATTACTATTATTGAAATAGAAAACAAAAAAACGCAAAGTTTTCCTTTATCACTGGAGCTAGCCTGAGCCATTTATATCGGTATTGACCTCGGTAGTAGAAAGCAAAAGGACCGTCAGCAGATACAAAGGGAGACGGTTGGGTAAATAGTGTTGCAAGAGACCAGAGCTCGGGAACTAGACATTTTCCACCGAAAACATTTTTTATGGAGCCGCAAAAGCTGTTTAATATCACTACTTAGAATGTTTTATATTGAAAGTCTACATTAAGGTTAATTAATCACAGAACTCAGCAGGCCTTCTGTCCTCACCATATTTTTTGAACCCCTGACCATGAACGTCAAGGAATAGATGCTTGAATATTTCATTGAACGGTTCTATCAATGGTACAGCCAGGGCAAGGCCGTAGGATCAACCTACGGGTCGTTGTGGCGCAGGGGTAGAGAGGGTACGCTGGGAACCAAAAGGTTGGTGGTTCGAGTCCTGGCTGCCCCATGTCGAAGTGTCCCTGAGCAAGACACCTAACCCCTAATTGCTCCCCGGGCAAAATGTAAAAGCCATGGGTTGAAAATGTAATGTATGTCGCTTTGGATAAAAGCGTCGGCTAAATGACCTGTATACATGTAATGTAATGGCAAGGACACTAAAGGTCATGAATCAAAAACTTAAAGCTACTCCAACCACAAGCAAGCAAAAAACACACAAAAAGGCAAAGTCATTAATTAACTAGGAAATGCATTTCCTGCTGAAAATGCATTGGAATGCAAAAAGCTGAAAGCTGAAATGAATTTTTAAAAATAGCTGAAATTACAGAAATTTGAAGGGAATTTTAATACATTTGCTGAAATTACAGATATTATAAAAGCTGAAATTAATTTGAAATTGCTGAAAATATAGAAATGGGAGAAGCTCAAAGAAATTTCAATAGATTTACTGAACAAGCAGAAATGAAAACAGCTGAAATGAATGTGAAATATTGCAAAAAAAAAATACCGAAATGAATATTAAAACATTGCTGTTAATACAGGCATAGGAAAAGCTGAAATTATTTTAAAGAACTGCTGAAAATACAGGAAGTGGGGAAGCTGAATTTCAATAGATTTTCTAAAAAATAAGTTGCAAGAGCTTAAATGAATTTTAAAAAGTACAGAAATAACAAAATCTGAGATGACTAGGTTTAAAATTGTTTAGAGTAATATTAGTAGTAGTATTAGTTATAGTTGTAATTGTGGTATTAGTAGTACTAGCAGTAGAAGCAGTAATAGTAGGTTTAGTATCAATAGCAGTAGAAACAGCTGTAATACTAATACTATTAGCCATAGTAGTATTTGTAATAACAATAGTAGTAGTTGTAGTATTAATAGCAGTAGAACTACTAGTAGTATGGTAGTAGAAGTATCAGTTGTAGTACTACTAGAAGTACTAGTAACATGCTTAGTGGTTGTAGTAGTATTTGAAAGAGCAATACGTATTTCAACGAAACCGCTTCATTCTGAGCTTCATGGTTAAGGTACAGATTATCATTGAGGCTTTTATTTTGTAATGATGGAATTGGGTGAGGGGGGGTTGGGAGACAGAATGTTTATTATTCAAACTAAAAAGTTTTTAATTAATACGCCTCATCACAAACATTACAGTAAAAATTCCCTCCATGGGGCTTTTATTTTGTAATTATTGGACTGGGTGGGGTGGGTGTAGAGGGAGGGAGGGTGAGGAAGGGAGGGGTGGTGAGGAAGAGATAGAGGGAGAGAGAGAGAGGAGGAGAAATAAACAGACAGACTGACTGAGTGAGTGATTAACAGTGAGAAGCGGTCAGGGTGGAGGGGGGAGGGGGGGGCTAGTGTCTTTATCATATTGGTCTGTTGACAGAAAGCATAGCTGTGTCATGTGACTCCACCAATCAGGTCATAGGAGCAGCTGTGAGTCACAGACAGAGATACTGCAGTGTGTGTGCGAGTAACCACGGCAACGGCGCACCTGGGCTCATTAATGAGCTGCTGCAAAGGGCAGACACAGGACAGCGAGTTACACAGAATCCACACCTCAAACAAATATATACCAGCGCAACACTATGTCAGCTATCTAAAAAATACGGCGTTTTTACGAGACCCAAGACTCTACCGAACGCATGGATGCGTTTTTATGTCTGTCCAGTAATAAATACGGCTCCTATCGCAGTTGACAAAACGTGTACCTTCTGGATTTTTTGAGAAATATGTCGGCCGATTTGTATTGGAGCCTATGGGGCTTTTGGCAGAGGTTGTGTCACTCTAACACTCCTTAAGCCAAAACTAAAGAACTCTGGGATTCTATGAACACATTAATACAATCTGAAGAAATGAAGCCTCAAGAGTGTATACTTTGGCTGCAAGGACAGAAGTTCCATATTTTTTAAACCAGATTCTGACGCTGCCCCACACTCTAGCCCTCGAGGTCCCCCTCTAGCAGACGCAATACACACTCATGTAAAAGTCAGAAACGGAGCGAAGAACTAGTGAAAAATAATAATAATAATTTAATATAATAATACATAATATAATCATTTTCTTGAAATAGTTGAGACTTGCGTCAACATTTGAAAGTTTAAATGGTGTCTGTAGCTGAAAGATTGGCGGAGCTGAAAAATCTGAAAGTTGAAGTAGTTTAAGAGGATTTGAAAACGATCTCCATTGGAAAACCATGTTAAAATATTAATGATTATTGATTTATATAAATTCAAGCTTAAGAGGTAGAAAGCTGAAAAGCCATAGCCCTAAAGCCAGAAAGGAGCTGAATATTTTAATATTTGAACGGTTTAAATAGCTGAAAATGTGAAGGAGTTGAAAGGGGGCGCGGAAGACATAGAAGAAGAAGAATAGGATGAAGAAATAAAGATTCAAAGAACAATACTTGGAATTCTTAATGCATTCCAAAAAATAAAAAGATGAAGAAATAAAGATTCGAAGAACAATACTTGGAATGCTTAATGTATTCCAATAATAAAGATTCGAAGAACAATACTTGGAATGCTTAAAGCATTCCAACTAATTAACAGGGGGATCCGCAAGGGAGACACGACAAGCACACATATGAGTGGGGGGGATGAGACAATTTGAGGCAGCTGTGTGGACCGGGCAGGTAAGTGTGATGAGTGCAATCAGGGAACACACACACACACACACACACACAATGAGATTGTCGGGACATTACAGATTCTTTCATGTATTCACCATCTGTAAGCGGCTGTCCACGCCAAGTGTCTCGTTTTCCAACTGTCTCATGAGCTGCCACGGAGCTAGCTGCAGTAGTCTAGCTTGGAGACACGATACACTTTGTGACAGTATTGGTAACCGACTGAATGACATACATGTATGTCAATCTGTAAAAAGTTGTTCAAGAGAAGAATAATGGTTTATTAAAATTTTATTGAGTTTAGGAGGTCAATGAAGGTCTCATGCACTCACATGACCCTAGGGATCTTTTGACCTTTTATTCTAAACTCCAAAAACCACATGCAGGGTAACTGTAAAACAAAGGGCTGGCAGGGTAACTGTAAAACAAAGGGCTGGCAGGCTAAACGGGGACAGGCAGGGTCGGCAACACGAGATCCGTCTGAAACCGAGTGCTGGAGAGTCTAGCATAGACATGGAAGACCAATCTGGCACCGTGTGTGAGGCAGGAGACTAAATATGGATTTGATTAGTTATAAGAGGCAGGTGTGTGAACAGGTGAAGGCCGTTTCGACTGACGAGGTGGGAGTGACAAAAAAATAGAGTGGGGAGGGTGTGGAGCAGAACAGTGACAGTGTCAGAGAGGTGATATTATGTTGTGATCATGCGCGATGTGTGTAGATGAGTGCGTGACCCGTAGCTGATTTTCCAACATATCACGCTACATCTGCCCATCTTCCAACTACCGGATTTTCCGCACTATAAGGCGCACTTTAAAGCCTTTAATTTTCTCAAAAAACGACAGTGCGCCTTATAATCTGGAGCGCCTTATATATGGATCAATTGGTTAATCGGTTGATCCATACTGGTTGTACACGGCGCGCAAGGCGCCAAACATGCCAAAGCTAGGTCTACGACGGCGAGATGCTGAGCGGCGCTGAAGCACGTGAGATATGGAGCCCTGTTTCAGGGCGCGTCGGAGAGACAAAGCGGTCGTTCTCGCCGAGCACTTAATGACATTAAAGAGCGAGAGACTGTGCCCTTTTCTTTACAGTAGCTGAACCATCTTAACGGGGAAAATAAGTTATTCTAAAAGGGGCCCTTGGCAGGCGGCGTGGCTGGAGAGCAGCCGAAGATTTAAGGCGTGGATGGCGAGGGGGGCGGCGGGAGCGGACGCACCTCACAGCGTTGATCGGACCCTGAAAGCACCGTCTCCACCTCCCCGCATCCCACCCATCCACCCCGACGCCAAACGTTTGACTGCAGTATCTTATGCGCCTCATAATCCGATCCGCCCTATATATGAAAAATGTTCTAAAATAGGTCATTCATAGAAGGTGCGCCTTATAATCCGGTGCGCCTTAAACCTAGTTTATGCTTCTGCGTTTTCAGAGCGACGCAGACGCAAGACCCCCTTGCGTGCCTTTTCACACCTCCTTGCGTGCCTTTTCACACTTCCTTGCGTCCTTGCATGTGTCGAGCCATTTTTCTAGGCTTGCGCAAGCCTCCCGCAGCGCACAAGGCTGCGATTGGTCTGCTAAGTACATCCTTTACGGAGTCTCACATTTCCGCTTTCATAGCCCGATACCGCCATTATTGAAACAAAGAATGTTTACGAGAGAACGGATCAGATTGAAGAACTTTTGTCGGAAGAAATGCGTAAATATGGCGGCTTATACAAGCCGCCATTGGCGGGTTGTAGAAGCGGGTTGGATTCATTGAGGGATATCGCCGCAAACGCCAGTTTGCCGGTCGAGAGGTGCAAGTTGTGGAGGAAAATACGGGACAAATGTGTCCGCGATGAAAAGCAGCAGTGGCGATGCATGGGGCAATAAAGTCTATGATAAATAAATAAACAAATAAATAAATAGACGTGACTCTCTAAACACGTTACTCCGCCTGTTGTTCTGCCGGTGAATTGCTCTGCAACACACGCAAGCCTTTTTAGAAGCATGAATTGAAACGTGTGCGTCGACGCAACGACGCAGAAGCATGCGCCAGCCTTTATAGTGCCGAAAATACGGTATTTCGCACAGACCGCATAATGGCACTGAAAATGAGGGGAGGCGGAATCTGCTTCTATATTAACGGTGCATCAGTTCCCGGTAATCTGAGCTAGTCGTTGTGTATTTCTTATGAATTTGTGTTGGTACATTGATGTTTATGGACCCAGGAGGGGTTCAGGTGAGAGTCTGGGTCAGGGGCTGCATGTGTTTTTAAAAACAACATCGGTTATCAACAGCTCGTAACTTAAGCAATTTCATAAACAAAGATGTGATGTTATGTATTATAGCATTTCGAGTTGGACAATATGTGCAACAGCTGCGGGGTTAAGAAATTCCCTCATGCTGCCAGTAGTGATATTGACTCTAGCTAAAGCCCACACCTGTGGAGAACCAAGAGATCAAGAGGGAAAAAGTCTTCTTGGCCCCAATTTGGAGGCCGTGATCAATTAAACAGTGATTTCTGATTGATTACCAAAACCCAGACAATGTGCAAAACGCATGTAGCATACATATCCGTGTGTGTATGTGTGACTCACCTCCCATGAGGAAGAGAAGGCCTGCCACATACTGCATGAGACCTCTGTCCCAGCAGCAGCCGAGCACGCCAATGAGCCAACCGAACAGGATAATGGCCACTGCCATGCCCATGAATCCTGCTGTCATTCGCCGCAAGTCTGAGGATACACCAAAGGAAAACATTTTCACTGACTTGAAGAGGATGCTACAGCTATGAAGAGAGAAAACATGACTTTTTACACTTCCTGCTAGCAGAAATAGACCAGAATTTCCCCTCTAGTCCATAAAGACCATAAGAGTCCTGCTGTTCCATTTCTAATAGTTTTATATTTTGAAACTTCCATTGTAAATTCTCACACAAAACCAGCTGTAAATGGACTGTACTTATATCTTCCCTATTCTTCTCTCTATCTTCTCTAGCATTGCAAGTTACCATGCAAGATGACGTCTGCACATCAGGACTAACATTTTAAATATTAGGGCTCAAACAGCAACGTAGTGGGAGCGGAGGACCTATATTCTTATAATGTTTATTACTATTAGGACCCGAGCAACGACATAGTGGAGCTACTGGCCTAATGTTTATTATACATTGCCAGAAAATCCTTGCCGGCATCTACTAGTAGCTGCATTGAGTGTATTAATGAGCAGACGTACAACTGCTCCATTCTCCCAAGTAGAATAAAAGTGCCATTTTTTTGTGTCTTTCTTCACATCCTCTCACACTGACACTTCCCTTCTCATCATATATATTTCAATCAGGAGAGACTTCTTGAAATGATTTATCCAACTGTGGCCGTAATGATTGCTGTGTCATAGATATAAAATACAATGTTAATCACTAATAATGTCACCTATCTGACTAGCCTCATAGATCACTGTATCATAGACTTTGAATAACCGACCACTAGAGACAGTGTTTGGAGGCAATGGAAACTTGGAGGAATATTTAGTTGTTGGAAACTTTAGCCACACAGCCTGCCTTCATTGACAACTGGTAGCAAGAGGTTGAGAGAGTTTCTTTCAATTACCAGATGAGAATAAGTGATGTGTTTTTTCCAGTTCCAGCTACAATTACAGTGAAGTGCGGTGTATTGTCACAAAATGGCACAGGAATGTAAGTCTATAAAATAAATTTATTCAAACTGATTGAAATGTTGTTAGTGCCAAATTACACAAAAATAACTGTACTGCTGAATGTATAAATATAATGGCTGGTAGTGTAGAATACAAGGTGAACACAATTATAGTCATCTTATAGAATCTCTTTTAGTGGAGTAAAAGTGCTAAGACATGGGAGCAATGTCGGGGTTGAGTGTCTTGCCACGCGGATTGCCAGAGCCGGTGATTGAATTGCCAATTATCGGATTGAAGGACAAACGTGCTCTCCGCTCTCCCACAGTGGTTGACTGCATGATTTGATGCATGGCTCTGCAACTAACAGCCTGTCTTGGTCTATGGATCCTAGATAGAAGTAAGAATTTAGACAATTTAGAGTTAGAAAATATTGGAGTACAGTAACGGTTCCCAATCCTTTTAGGCCACGCACTCCCTTCTACATCCTGACTGGGTTCATGCAACCCCAATCCCCAACAATTAAAAAAAACATTTTTATAACATATTGATAGCTGCAATGAAATTGGACCAATGACAAAACAATTTGCTCATGCGTGGTGTTTGTTTACAATATTTAGTCCGGTGTTAAATGTTGCAATGAGAACACAAACTGAACATAGGGGAAACTGCAATATTATACCATATTACTCCCAAATCGGGAAACAAACACAAACTACAGCTGTGAAAATGTCCCAAAACACTGCAACGTTTCAATAAATTGCATCACTTTTAAACAGCAATGAGGATAGAAAGTACAAACGCACAGAGGCTCATTAAAATTGAATTAAAAATGTAAAGTTACACATCACGACTAAGCGTCAGAGGTAGGCAAATATATACTCTCAGAAACCGATATGAATAAAAAAGGGAGGAGTCAATCTCTGAAATGCAGCGCAAGTGGCTCAGACTTCAGCCAGAGAGAGAGAAGGAGGGGGAGCGACTAGAGACGTTTCTATCGCCACAGATTCATCCCTCTCTCTCTCTCTCTCTCTCTCTCTCTCTCTCTCTCTCTCTCTCTCTCTCCTCTCTCATGAATGATAGCTTCAGATGTCCACCTGACAGTTTCCCCGATTTCAGCCAGTTTAGCACATCTGTATGAATGTTGCTGAATGAATGAAGTTAGCTGTTAGCTGACGTAAAAGGGGGAGCTGAAGTACATTTATTTATAGTTTTGAAAAATTGGGTTTTTCATTTTAAATTGTAATCTTGAAGGGTATTTTTATAATTCATGTTGCTATTCTGTGTAAAAAAATAAAAAATATATATATATTTTTTTAATTATTACACCATTAAACCACCATTACATTTTTTTTCTCGGGCAGCCCCAATAGTGCCCCACCATACTTCCCTGGAATTCAGCATCAGTAGGCCAAAAGTTTCCCCAGGACCGAAGATTCATATGGATGAGTGGTGTTCAAGCCCCAGGCTTGTGTAGACTGTGGTCACATGGTTGGACACACCTGATTTCCCCTATCTGGAATGTTTCGGGTGGACAAATTTGAATTCATGGTGTATCTGGGACTGCATGTGATCGGCCCGTGTTTCTGCTATATGTCAGAAAAATTCTCATTCGACACCGGCGTAAAATCATCAAAACAGGTTATTTAATGTTTGCAAACAGGAGACAGACGGACACACAAGTAATGTGCCAAGCCTGCTCCACGGGAGGTTTCTGTCCTCCCTGAGCTCGCCTTGACACCTGCATTACCGTTCGACAGGTGTACCGCCCCAGTCAAACTCCCCACCTGCCACTGAGCGGGTCGCGGGCCGGGCGAGCCGGCCGCTTGACGCCAGAGCCGAGGGCCCGCTTGGGGCCCCGCTTCACTGGGTAAGTGGAAAAACGATAAGAGTAGTGGTATTTCACCGTTATGAGTTATGAGTAAGCTTCTTACTCATAACACATTTAACACAATTCACCCTATTCACCATGTCTAAATATGGAAACAAATAGATTCCTATGTTGATTATTGTCATAATAATACCCTGCTGCTTAGCATAATTCCTTACCAACCTAATTTCCAAAGATATAAACTGCTTCGTTTAAAATAACCACAGCGGTTATTAAATAATAAATAATAAAAATGAATATTGCATTGATATAATTAGTAGACATGGTTTGCTGGGTTAGGGTTAGGGTTATTTTTTGGGCTATATGTTATAAATGTGTAATGATGCATTGATGTTCTTAAGAAAGTATATGGACCAAGGGAGGCAGGACAAAGTTATAACTGATAGTAATACTTTTATAAGGATAGCAAATCATTTTTCTTATGTTTTATACGGGGTAAAGAATATTTATTCATTGTTTATAATTTTGTACTTTATCTTCATTCTGCCCATTTCATATTTAGGTAATTACTTGGAGGCCAGGCACAGGAAAATATGTCTTGCAGCACATCTGATCTGCAGTCGGAGGTGGAGGATGACATTCCTAAGGAAAGACCGCCAATCCCAGTGTGAGTAAATACATTTGATTCTCAGCCAAATTAGCTCAAAGACACTGCTCCTGCGTAAGTAACTGTTGTGGTGGCCACTAACCCACGAGTGAGTTTGGAGATGTATACTTCACCTGGTCCAGTTGGTGTTCTCCCTACCTTGTAATTTTCTGCCTGACTGCATGATCAGGGCTTTAGACTGTGACCAGGAAGTGCGAGGGGTGCTAGAGTGAACGCAGTGCTCGATAAATCTGAGAATTCCTTTTTTTTGCAAACTAAGACTTCTAAATTTAATGAAAACAATTTGAAGTTACCCGGCGGTCTTCAAACTTTCAAACAGTTGTATGTTTCCCAGATCTTACATTTTAGACTGCATATCTGCAATATGTTGCACTGAGGATTCATGACATTTAATATGATTGACTGCTTGTATGATTACAGATGCTGTCAGAAAGAATCATCGTGCGGCCACAGTTGATGAAACACTCCATTCACTGGTTCAACCTGGCAGCAGACCGGGGTACCTCCAGGAGGCGTGCTTGCTAATCAACAATCATAAAGATGTATATAAATGGTGTATAATTGTACAAATCTTTTTAATAAAAACAATTGAGCTTAATTATAGTTGCATTTCCTTTTTAAATGAATTATTTTCATAGAATTACAGTTTAACGTGAGTGAATGGACCGTTTCCGTCTAGTTGGTCTAGCCCCTTCAGGGCCCTGCAAAAAAGGTGAAAAAAGAGGGAAAAGAATAGAAGAGGCATGTTGGAGGCGTGGTCCTGCTCCGGAAAATTATGCTAATTAGCTTCAATTAATGTGCCATATGTAGAAATGGTGTAAAACGCATCCATCTCCTCATACTCCTATAGTAACTATGTCCATGTTCAAAGCCAAACATGAATCTATGGTTAAGTTAGGTGTCATTTTATGATGCATATTATAAAAGCAATGCCATAAAATTGTCACGAACCCGAGTATGTTTTCCTGTGTCTGTTTGTCCCGGGTGCCGAGTAACGACGACAAGGCGGGAGGTCCAGGATCACCGGTGCCTGCTCCCCCTTGTGCCCAATCAAGAAATCAACACATCTGGTCCTGATCATCGTCACAACAGTACTTTAAGCAGAGACCTGACATCCAGTCCCTGCCGGATTGTTAGCCATATTTATATGTGTGCTTGCGTGTCAACAGTGAATTAATCTCTATTCACCTTTTGTTGTGCTTTGTGTACTTATCTATTTCTTGTATGTCCGTCTCTAGTTCATTCACCCTGGATTTCGGTCACTCATGCCTGGCAACCTGAACCTTTCCCACCTTTCCAACCTTTCCCTTTACCACTCCCCCTTGTTCAATAAATACTCACCTTGTCACCATCTACCTTGCGTGGTCTGCATTTGGGTTCTAACTGGAGAAGTTGTGACAAAAATGATTTACCATATAGATTTAGACAAACAACATGTAAGTTTCAACATTTGTTATGTTGTCTGTTCAAGACACAGCACTCCTATCCCTCGCTCAAAGCCAAAAGATCAAATTATTGTACCCGAGTATGTTGAATAATTGCCTTGAGAACACTGTGTGTGACTAATATATTCAATAGGCCTCTGCTTTTATGAAATAAACGGCATGCTGTGTCAGTTACCCTACTTTTGAATTCATCTATGGAGAGTAATGGAAGATACTATCATCGTCCAACCATCAGTGTGATAAAACAAATGCCACATTGGCCTGGTTAGATGCTGGAGGGACGTTCCCTCACTGCCTTGAGCAGCCCCTCGACCTAACATGGTGTTAAAGGCCACATGTAATTATTAATAAGGGGGTCATAAGTGCTGAGATTTAATCTGGCACTTGTTAATAATTATTTATTGCAGATGCCCACTCAGTGGACAGGGCTTTTCTTGGTTTAAGCCTAGTTTATGCTTCTGCGTTTTCAGAGCGACGCGGACGCAAGAGCCCTTTGGGTGTCCCTTGCGATTAGTCTGCTAACTACATCCTTTACGGAGTCTCACATTTCCGTTTTCATAGATCAGATTAGATTTCATAGCCCAATACCGCCATTATTAAAAACGAAGAATGTTTACGAGAGAACGGATCAGATTGAAGAACTTTTGTCGGAAATGCGTAAATATGACCGCTTATACAAGCCGTCATTAGCGGACTATAAGGACGCACGGATAGCCTCTGATTCATGGAGGGAGATCTCCGCAAATGTCGGTTGGCCGGTCGAGAGGTGCACAAAGTTGTGGAGGAAAATACGGGACAAATGTGTCCGCGATGAAAAGCAACAGTGGCGATGCCCAGGGCAATAAAGTCTATGATAAATAAATAAACAAACCAACGACTTCCACACACAAAGACGTGACTCTCTAGGTCGTTTTCATTCCCTTTTTAGAACACCACAAACCGATCTTATTTGGGAATTATTTAGCAACATGGACCCGCCTCCTCTTCCTCATGCAAATTCCACGTAAATGAGTGACTTTCAGTTTTTTTCTAACTTAATTGAGAATCTAGCACAACACAGCTACTTGAAAGGAGTATTTGTATGTATTTGCTCATGAAGCCTGAAAAGGGTCATTTGGCCAATGTTTTGATAACCGACCGCAGCCAGTTCAATTTTTCCCCTACCACTATAACAGGAGTGTCTGTCTGGATGTCTGGAAATAAAAACCAGCGGACTGACTACAACACCCCCCCCAGGGTGTGGGGTATTTCCTTTTGTATTTGAGTGCCTCTTGGGTTCCTGGGTTAACGTCACTTCTTGCTAGGCAGTCGCCGAAATGAAGCAAGGTTTCTTATGAGGACGCAACACAAAATGGTGTATGGAGAGCCATGAATGCAATTGGCATACGTAACATTTTATAGTATATATGTAACCAGTTATAGTAGTGGATGTTTACAGATAAATTCCCATTTAACAGTTCTCTTGAATACAAGTTCTGACTGGAGGCATCATAGCCTCATAGCGACAAGAGTTTATGGTGCATCCCGCCTTTCTCTGAATGTGCCCTTGGACAAACTCTAGTGCCTGACCCTTCAGTGGATTATAAAAGATATATATGGTGGTAGTAAGTGCTAACCCCAAGAGACTGCAAATGAAGGGTCAGGGCATCACCCTAAACACCAGGGGCCTCACTTACAAACGTTACAAACGCTCTCTACGCAATAATTGGTATTTATAAAAAGCAAACTTGACGGAAAAATGTGCGGTCCTTCACGCAAGCTCGGACCCATGCTTACGCACAAAAACGGGTGAAATGAGAACCGTCGGCAAATGCAAGAAACACGCAAACGTGTGTGAAAGTGTGTAAAACTAGACTTTTGTGTAAATGAAATGCCAATACTGCCTCTCATAAATAACACGAACACCCGTTTGAGCGTAAAACAAACGGAAATACAAATTAACACATTTTCAAAAAGAAAAGTGAAATATGTTCTGCAATAATAGAAGCATGTTATGCAATTCATCCTCAAAACACAGCTGTTGCTTGTCAGATGCAATCAAACGGACGGTAATAAAATGCCATGATGCCATCACAATGCGTAATGACGCAAAATGGCTGATCTTGCGCTCTTAGAAGATGTGGCAAATGGAAGGATTCGCGCTGTAGTGCAGCGAACCATCGGCCTGTTTAAGGGCAGATGGCGCTGCCTCAACTGCACTGGAGGGAGGTTATTGTTTACTCCTGAAAAGGTGTGCAACATCGTGCTGCATGTGCTGGGCTACATAATGTGGCAAACATGCCTCGACCCCCTGACGCCGATGGCTGTGTTAGCCCAGACCCTGTCCCCAATCCCCAATCATTGCCGCCAGTCTCTCATCAAGAGGGGACAGCTCCAGTGTCCCCGCTCTCCCACCCGTGGCAGACCCACTTTGGTGATTGCGCGCTAAACGCTTTTTTGCATCCACTTTGATGTCAGACCAGTTTTTCTTTATTTTGGCCACGGTCCGAGGTTGTGAGGCTGCAGCGTTGCTCTGCAACCTTTTGCCACTCGAGTGCCTTTTTGGCATTAGTAATGCCCATACTGTGCTCTCCAAAAAGCATTTTACTTCTCCTTTCCACCTCGCCAATGATCATTTTGACTTCACACTGAGTGAAGTTACGTTTCTTCGTTTTCCTCTCAGTGTTTGTCATGATTTCGTAATTGATGAATATTAATTTGTGGGCGTTCCACAGACTATATATGGGCAACTATGGGCGTGACATGAAGCCGCAAAAGCTGCGCTGCATTTAGAAGTGATTGTGATTTATTAAGGCAAGGTTTTATAAGTCTGAATATTTCTGTCCGTACGCACGTCCTATGTTTCATCCGTACGCCACTTTTGGCGCAAATCCTACACAAGGTTTTATAAATGAGGCCCCTGGAGCTATTACCAATTTGTTTGATCTGCAGAAAATACATTTAAACCTTTTCAAAGTGGTGGGCAGAAAAATAGACACACACAGTTTAACATAATGCTAGAATTGCCTGGTGGTTAAAGTAAATGATGTATACTGGAAATGATGTTGGTTTGATTCCAGCAAATAGCAGCAAATAGCTTTTTCTAGCTTTTTCTTGAACCGGTGTTTCAACTGAACCGTTGAACACCGGTTCAACGGTTCAGTTGAAAGAGAACAATTTTGTCAGTCTTTGTTTCAGCAAACCTGGGACTTTTTGCATGGAGGTAGAGTGAGCGACAGAATAAGTAATGGAGAATTGTTAAAAAAATACTTTCACCTGGAACGCTTTCAACTTCCAATGTGAAATCATGAGTAGAAGTTCTGCTTACGCTTTTTGCATTGCATAACTATCCCTGTTGAGTTTTGCAAGAAAGTCTGCAACGGGCGTTTTTGCATGTCAAATGAACTGGCTGTTATTGAAAGTGACAGGGGTATACTAAGGTTTTTATTTGTAATTAAGCTATTTTACCGAAAATGTCTTTTGCAGTATGAGCACTTTTTTAGAGTAAAATGAAAAGTGAGCTTAAACCATTTCCATGTTCAACAAAAATGGTAAACTGTCACAGAAGCACAGAAGAAAGAAAACAAGAGTAGCAGACTTACGGAGTGAGTGCCACTCATCCTGCCTTATTGTCTTGGTGATGTTGAAGGAGAGGTTTTTGGGTATTGTAGCAGAGGAGTAGTGATACTTGACGTAAGAGCATCTTGAGATGGAACCTGCAAAACAAACATAGCTTTTTAAAAAAGAGAAATTGAGAAACAACTCTGATTCATGGGTCATAACCTGAATCAGTGTGACATATAATTGTGGTGACACACTGAGCAGGAATGAATGGTATTGCACTGTTCTATTATTTTTACTGTTAACAAAGATTAAATGTGAGCGAAACTCCTTTTCAAGAGCAGGAATGTGAGCGTGCTTACTCCTTATAATTTCTTCGTAAAAATGAAATCATCTTGACAATGTTGAATCAGTGTGAAACTATAAACAAAAACATTTTAAAAAACTGAAATATGAACCCTAACCCTTAATCAATCAACACATAAAAAACAAACACAGTCATTGCTTTCTGAGGAATACAGACGCAGAATTAATGTGGATTAGACATGGGATGCCATAGATTGTGCTTCTTCATCACAGATGTCAAAATAAAAGCACCACACCTATTTAAGCATGAAACAATAAAAAAACATCTCCAACGTTAACTTTTCTTCAAAAACATTTCTTCAATATATAACAATATTGAGGGCAGAACAGGAATGGTTTGATAAGGAAGTTCATTCATTCAATACACAGAGGAGCAGCGGCACACTAGAATGGTGTTTTGATGGTCTAAACTTTAAATCTGTTAAAAAGAAATTCTTTTTTTTCATGAACAAAACAGCTGGCAATGATCTTGGTCAGTAATCAAGAAGCTGCTATCCGTTTCTAATCCAATCCGTTTTGTTTATAAAGCACAGTTTAAATGAACACAAAGGTTCCCAAAGTGCTGTACAATAAAATAAACACAATAAAACATAATAAATAAATAAATAAATCAACTGTCCTCCCCAGATAAAATATCTGTGCACATAAAATCAACAACCTATATAGTATTAAAAGACAAAGAAAAAAGGTGCGTTTTAAGAAGAGTTTTAAAATTAGACAGTGAGGAGGCCTGTCTAATGTGCAGCGGCAGTTCGTTCCGTAGTTTTGGAGCTGCAACAGAAAATGCTCGGTCCGCTCTGAGCTTCGGCCTCGTTTTTGGAACCCTCAGGAGCAGCTGGTCAGCTGACCTGAGAAATCGGCTGGGTGTGTAGGGGTGCAGAAGTTCAGAGAGGTACGATGGGGCAAGACCATTTAGAGATTTAAAAGCAAATAAAAGAATTAACCAGTAACCAGTGGAGTGAAACTAAAATCGGTGAAATGTGCTCAAACTTCCTTATGCCAGTTAAAAGGTGTGCAGCTGCATTTTGCACCAGTTGAAGATGTGCAATGGAGGACCCTTGTACGGTGGACCTGAAGTGCAAAACACAACGGCAAATAGGAACGCAAAACGCAAATAGGAAAACACAACGGCAACTATAGGAAAACACAACGAAATTAACTCCTTATGGCAAGGATAGGGCCTTATAACAGAGGACGGACCCTTCTGATTGGACAGACTGTCTGTCTTTTAACAGGAAATGATACAGGGCTCTCAAGTATCACGCACTCGCGCCACACATACAATTCCTCCCGCCAAGGAATCGGACTACGGTCCCCGAGCCGTGTCGCCCGTAGGGTCCGCGGGCTTCAACCCGGCGTAGAAACGACGCTACGCCGCCCACCGTAGATTCTGTGCGGTCCCCCCAGCTGAGGCGTCGCGGTAACACCCCCCCCCCCCCCCCTCCTTCACCCCCTACCGTAGCATCCGCGCCATCCACCGGCCGTAGCCCCCCCTCTATTTACTTTTATTTACAACACCTAAATATAATTGAACAAAACACCGGTAAAACAATGGTGAAACACTAGGACACTTTTAAGACACTCGTAAAACATCGCCATCTCTCTGTGACTTCTCCTGCAGCTCTGCTGCTGTGCTCACTTCCACCCCTCATCACAGCCTCAGTCCCGCCACTCAGTTATTGATGCCATAATATCTAGAAAGCAGCATTTCTCAGCTTTCAGAATCCGATTGTGCAAATAGTTAAGGAGTCACGGTAATTTGAATCCTCCATGTCACTTTTCGTCGCCGGCGAAAGGCTTCGGATTAAGAAGGTTAAAAGACAGACCTTCCGTCTGTCCAATCAGAAGGGTCCGTCCTCTGCTATCTGCTATAAGGCCCTACCCTTTCCGTAAGAAGTTCATTTCGTTTTGTTTTCCTATTTGCCATTGTGCGTTCCTATTTGCCATTGTGTTTTGCACTTCAGGGCCACCATACCCTTGCTATCTATTTGAGAAACCCCAAGACACTCATCAGGGCATTCGGGCAATGGGCTTCAATTGCCCGGCCTAGTAAGCTCCTACACACTGCTCACATACAGATGTTACATTAAAAAGCTATTAGGGGAGACAGTCTACAGGAGAGGTTATTTGCCCTGACATTGTAGGGTTTTAAAAGGTTGTTCCTCTGCTGTAATGGGGACAGGATGGATATCTTGTTGAAGCAGTAATTAAGATAAATTGGACACTGGAGAATGGGGGTCCGCTGCTGATAAGTGGTTGAAAAGTCAAGAGATATTGAGCAGATGAAGGCCAAAAATCCACTATTTATTGCCAGTGACACAACCAATGACTTCCTGTACAAGCGCTATTGATTCATCCGACAGGACATTATTTATTTTCAAGAAGACCTTCTCAAGCCATACATTGTGAACACCACACGCTGCAGCTGAGCATTAACGGTCTCACAGCCTGTACGCTTTTGTACATTTTGTAAAGTTTATCTGGCGCTTAAGAAACGTATGGATGGTCCATGTAAATTACCTGTGCAGTATTGAGATGGATTTCTTGAATACTGTATTACTTGTGGCATCCTGACTGGGCAGGCAAACTAAACATACGGTTTAACTCTGTTTGAGTTTAACTCTGTTTGAGTTAACAGATCAACTTTCCTTTCCTCCTCAGTGCCGTGATGGGATGTTGTAAAAATGCACGTATGGTTGTATGCTGTTTGTTTGTTCACGCGCCTTCGCCCGAAATCGCGCCGACTTTGTCGCAAACTCAACAGGAGAAACGTGGCACTCAATCGCAGATTTGCGTCCCTCCACCGCCATTGCGTCTGTGCATAGACTTTGTGAACGTTACTCTCCTACTGCAATGACAGAGACCATTTCCTCAGGGCCTTCACATAATAAAAAAAAACTCTCTAATGAGATTACAGAATGGCTCAATGAGTAATTAATCGCACATTAAAAAATGAATTAATCAGGATGAATCGCGATGCGTTTTTCTTTTTAGATACTGTTGTTTAATGGTATTTTAAACACATATCTGAACTCATTTTGGAGGCAGAATTACACCGGGTGGAACATGTTGAACTATGAGAGCTTTCTGCTGTCCTTGTGCACTTTGCTGTGCTCTAAACTCTCCATCATTTGACGGCTGTGTTTGAAGTGTCCTATGAAAATTTGGAAAAAGAGGGAGAGGAAAGAAAAGGAAGGAAAGAGAAAACCTTACCCTCTGTGGTGTACTAAATAACTAGACGAGGCACGCGTTTAACTGTTTAATTAGTAATGTCGGGATACAACACACAAGGCTCGGCATGAGGGCATTGTCCATCTTTTTACTTCCTCAGACATGCTCAGAATACCACTAGCTAACAACGGCAAGTCTTCAGGACAAACTTAATGCACATATTAAATAGTACTAAATACACCACACCCTCCAAACCCCTGTTTGGAGGGTGAGGTTTTTAGAATGCATACTCGAAGAACCAGAAGAGTGGGTTGAGCTGTATTTTTGGAAATACCGGAAGGGGCGTGTTGGAGGCGTGGTCCTGCCCCCGAAATACGTTAATTAGTTTCAAGTAATAATGCGTGTTTGAGTCTCTCTTTTTTTGCATTGTATCATACTGGGATGTTTACTGTGCCACTCACTGTTTGAGACATACCTGTGCGTCCCCCCTGCCTTTCACCATCCTGACGGTACGCTTTCCGTCTGCCTTCCCCATACTGTGTCTCTCTGTGAAGTCATCCCTTCTGTGGCCCTTTTCTTCGCACCGCCAACACACCGTCTCCACTGGCCCAGTCTTTTTCCTTGGTGCCGTTTGGGCCCTCAGTACGATGTCTCCCGCCTCTTCCGTCTTCATCTTCTGAAGCCTCGAAATTCCTTAACTTTGCTTTGAACTCTCCCAGCGTCATGTCCGCTAAACCATGCGTCACCATCAGTGTGAACGACTTGTACTTCTCCGGTAACACCCGCACGACCATCGCCCTCATCAGTCCCTTACTCGGTGCTTCACCTTCACCCCTGTGCGGTAATGATCTGCTCAGCTCAGATAATGTATTTAGTTACAGTCTTGTTGTTGGCTTTTCTTTAGCGCAGTCACTTGACATTCAGTGAGCGTGTGCTTGGGTCCACCTACTACACAACACTACACATAACAACATAAGTATCTGCCAAAGCTGAGAGACAGGTTTTGATTTGTTTGATATTTCCCTTGCCATAAACAAATATCATTGCATTGGCTGGTAAGGAATCGGTATACAAATATTTTTTCAACATATTTAAACATTTAAACAGTTTAAGTAATATGGCAGAAAAGTTTTTAAAAAATGGTAAGAAGCTTATATTAATTCACCTGCTGTCTGCTTGATCTAAATGTGTGAGAGGTTATGCATTACCAGTAATTCTGATGACAAGTCAGTTAAAGCAGTACTTGCGTTTTTTTATGTGCTTCCTTTACACACGGTGTGGAAATACCCTGAATCAAATTCAATAAAACAAATATACTATATATACATGTTGGATTCTGACGCAATATCTTTTGTCAAACGGGGTCAACATGTTGCCCTGATGACACAAACCAGGGGTATCAGGAGGGTTTCTCTTCATTTTACCAAGCAGATGATGATGTTCTCATCTAGACCCTCCAGGGGTACTCTGTGGAAATTACATTTTGAAGTGAATGTGAAACAATATCATGGGCTTCACTAAGCTAAGGTAACTAACACATGTAACTTAATACCCAGCCAGAATGCTCCACCTGCACAATAATGATTCCTTTATGGGACATAATTATTTCACTGCCCTT